AAAAAAAGAAGGTATTCTAGCAGTGGGGGAGACACATGAAACTCTGGTGATCAATTGACACTCATGACTTTTTAAAAAATTGTTTAGGTTTTGTTATTTTTTAAAATTGACCTCCTTTCCAAAATATTGACCCCCATTAAATATTTATCCAAATATAACCCATTAAAAATTTTAAATTACCAAACTATGCCAAATAATTTTATTATATATATATATAAACAAAAAGAGGCCCATTAAACTTTGTTATTATTTTTTAACATAAAATCTAATTACCTTAGTTTTATAGTTTACTTTACCATTTTTCATCTTTTTTTTTTTATGTCATTGAAATCAAGCTGAAAATAAAATTACAGTATGTAAAAGATAACATCCTTTTGAACTTGTTACATTATTAATTTTTTGAACAAAAAAATCATTTATCAATTTCATTAAGACGATCATTCGTGATGGTATTTTAATTTTGCTTAAAAAATTATTTAAAAATCCATTATAAAGCCGTTGCTTCGTTTATCAAAGATTATGTTAATTTTATATCAATTTTTTCAGCAATGTTGGTATAACCTTTAAATTGGTATAACTAGATCACTTATCAATTTCGTTAAGACAATCATTCGTGATGGTATTTTTATTTTTATTTTCAATTACTTTCTGCATTTTTTTTATAGAAAATTTATGACTCCCGTGACTAAAAATTCTGCCTCTACCACTGTAGTATAGCACTCGGGAAGCGCTATCTAACAATAAAATAGCGTTTTAAAAAAAGCTATAAAGTTGAGCAAACCAATAGATATTCATTTGTTCAATCATTTCTCTATAGGATGTGCTCAATTAGTACATAGGACAACAAATTGGACCTAATTATACACTACTGCTACACATACACGCTTTTGTCTATGATCCTAATCTCATCCTAAATTAGAAACTTTTATGTTGGTATATGAACCTAACTACTTCGAAATGACAATTACTTATAAACACAATGACTAATTAGCTACTGCCATCCTAAACATCACCTTCTTTATAAATACAAACGCTTTTATTTTTGACAAATAAACCATATCTAAATATGTCGCCATTTTTATTTCTCTTTTTTCTATATATACAAGCTTGTCCACTATAAATCTTATTTGGTTGAGTGTCAAATGAATCATGAATTAAATTGATTGAATTAACATAAATAGTTAAAATCCACTATAAAGTTGTTGCTTCTTTTATCAAAGATTATGTGTTTACAGATAGTAATCTTCCGTAAGCAGGCGTCTCCAAATCATTCTTTTTCACCTCTGCTAACAAATTCCAGTGTTTTTTAGATTCCACAGGCGGCTCCAAGTACTTGTACACTTTCTCATTTTCAGAGAAGAGGAGAAGATTGATTTTGCTATAAGCGGGGACTATAATACACTTCACCCTCTCAATCTCAAACGAGAAAATAGTGTTATTACGATCATCGTCTATTGATTTCTTTGCCAAGTGATCATATAAGCCATCAAAATATCTATTCATAGCATAATGAAGACTTCCATTCCACTCGGAATGTTTCAGATAGCCAGAGCTACTCCGCTCAAGCGATGATAAGATAACCTCCTTGGCAATTTTCAAAACTTTGTAAAAAATTTTGATGGCTTCTGGTTTTACCTTTGCTTTGGCTTCTTCTCCTTCTCTCATCTTCTTCAATGCTTCAGCTGCTTCATCTTCTTCCATCTTCTTCAATATAGCATCTACATCTTCTAACATCTTCTTCCAGATATCATCATCACCTTCTTCCGTCTTCTTAGAGATTTCACCTTCTTCTTTTTCACTCTTCTTTAAGATAAATTTCTCTCACAAACACAAATTTGAAGTCCATTTGAATTGAAAAAATATAGTCCAAAAGCTTGGATAAGCCTATCTTGGATTATATATTAAACACATTTGACAATCATCCAAGACTTCAACTCCTACAAATATTTATCCAAATATAATCCATTAAAAATTTTAAATTACCACACTAGGCCAATTAATTTTATTATATATATATATATATATATATATATATGGCTGCAAATGGATGACATATAGATGAATGGTTGGAAAATTTTGAGTTGAACAAAAAAAAGTTGAACATCATTCAACTCATTCCTCTGCGAAATAGTAGTTGAAAGGGTTGAACAATTTTGCTTCAGCAAATAGATGACATATAGATGAATGGTTGAAAATTTTTGAGTTGAACAAAAAAAGTTGAACATCATTCAACTCATTCCTCTGCGAAATAGTAGTTGAAAGGGTTGAACAATTTTGCTTTATAATCTATTCATTTTTCCAAATTTTTGGGTTGAATGGGTTGAATTAATTTTCCAACTTATTCTTCTCAAATGGTAAAAAATGAGATGAATGGTCATTCAACTCTTTCAACCTTTTATTTTAAGTCTACCATTTGCACCCATAATCGATTCATTTTTCCAACTTTTTGGGTTGAATCGGTTGAATTAATTTTCCAACTTATTCATCTCAAATGGTAAAAAATGAGATGAATGGTCATTCAACTCTTTCAACCTTTTATTTTAAGTCTACCATTTGCACCCTATATATATATATATAAACAAAAAGAGGCCCATTAAACTTTGTTATTATTTTCTTAACACAAAATCTAATTACCTTAGTTTTATAGTTTACTTTACCATTTTTCATCTGTTGTTTTTTTTTATGTCATTGAAATCAAGCTGAAAATAAAATTATAGTAGGTAAAAGATAACATCCTTTTGAACTTGTTACATTATTAATTTTTTGAACAAAAAAATCATTTATCAATTTCATTAAGACGATCATTCGTGATGGTATTTTTAATTTTGCTTAAAAAATTACTTAAAAAATTCACTATAAAGCCGTTGCTTCGTTTATCAAAGATTATGTTAATTTTATATCAATATTGTCAGCAATATTGGTATAACCTTTAAATTGATATAACTAGGTTATTAACCCCCACTACGCGGGGATTTGTTGTTATCGATTGATTTAATATATTTTTTGTTTTAGTATTTATTTAAGTAGTTATACATTGACCTTACTAATACAAAAATACTATAATGTTTACTATTTATTATTTTTTAACATAAATGTTCTTATTTATATTTTTAGTATCATTTACGTTATTTAAAATTTTGATTTGATAAGAAAAAAAATTTTATTAGATAAAATTTGGTATAAAATATATTACAATTATGATATATCATTATCTGTTACTTGTTTTATACTATTAAAGGTTTTGCTATTAGTAAAGCAATTATAATATTTTGACAATGACCCCACTTATCTTAAAAAGACCATGAGAGCATCTTTTATACAATAATGGCTCATCCCAACAAAGTAAGAAACCTCACCATCAAGTTTCAGCTACATATAAACAAAACGTTGCCATAAAGAGGTCATGTCATAACTGTTTTCTCACTTTTCTTTCCATATTTGATAATCCAAGTTTGTCTTATGGTGCCAACCGTATTTCGCTCTTTCTCTTTCATTTTTTTACATGGAGATCAACCCTCTTTGTTACCTAAATTATGACGTCAATTATTCATAATGCAAGGAAACTGATCTCATCAATTCAATTTATTACCTTTCTACGTCTTGCTAATTCATGTTTTTGATTGAAATTGGTACTCTAAGAAAAAAAAAAATTTCCATAATTTTAACACAAGTCTTCATACCTTTTTCTTGGTTAGATATCATCCAACTGAAGAAATATACAACCTAAGTTTCAAAAAAGAACCACGCAATAAGTTACCTCATTAGCCATAGACATCAATATTGCTTAGACATCCTTCCTAAGAGAGCTTCCTTACAAGGTCTTACATGTATGTTCCTCAACTCTCACCACAACCACCACTTTCCTATATTTATTGTTGTATGGGGACTAACCTCGACGACTTTCTCATGTGGTATACGCAAATTCACTATTGTTCTTCGTCTATATTCACTGTATTGGTTAGTGTAGCACTTCTAAATATAAGATTCTATACAGAAGTGTACTCATAAGCATATCTATACTTTTTTTTTAACAATTCATATTTTTAGCATTCTTTTCAATATGTATACGAATTTCCGTCATCACAATTTTTTCCGGAGAGCTATCACTCTTTTTATCTTTTTGCAAGCACTCGTTTCCTTTGTTTCATTCTCTATTCTATTAGCACATCTACCATTCACAAACTTAGCCGGACTCTTTCGATTCTACTCTCACCAAAACAATAAAAACTACTCTCAGTCTCAACTGACAAACAATCTAACAAACAGAAGCATCATATATTAGGTGGTGGTGCAAACATGCAAATAATAAAGTTATTGATCTCTACGGGATATAGCATCTCGGAATGAGGTGATAACATGGGATTTTCGCCCATATTTGCTATTGTTTTCTTATGTTTTAGAGAGAATTTGGAGTGATTTCAGAGCCAAGAAGGTGATATTCAAGTATTTATGGAGTCAAGAAGGTTTTAAGAGTTTTTGAGCATTAAAGATCAAAAGGCGATCAAAACCCGTTTCAAGACAGTTTCTGTACGTCAGAAGTATGGCGTCCGTTAGAGGTCTTACCTATAAGAAAATCAAGAGATCTCGGTGGTTTTGGAAAGCTAAAAGAGTCAAGATTTGCTTCGAAGTGGAATCATAGAAATCCAATAAGCCATTCGGAAGTTATGACCAGAAGAGTGAAGACATGTCCAGACCGGCCAGAAGTTGTGCAACCGTTCCGGAGCTTCAAGACCACACCGGTCATAAAGCTCGGTGAATTTGCTATGGACTCGAATATGAGTTTTCCTCTTTTTCTGAATACCCTAGACAATACTTGTGTACTTGCTTCATAAGCAAACATGTCCAACTCAGATGTCATAAGGGGTTTGGTCTTTGCGTGCATCACAATCCTTCAATAATTTTCTACCTTGCACCATAAAATCTCGTGTACACGTATCACCATATTAATCTACACCAAATCAGCTTCGAATCTCTTGACACATAATAACATTTCGACTAGCTCAAATAAGCCACGCACAGTCGGTGACACCTTCAATGTTTGCCATGTGTCATAGTCCATGCAAATGCTCACTTCTATGTATTAAGACCAGACCTATACAAGCACGGTCTCTTATTCACTTGCTGCTAGTTACTTGCAGAGAAAAGAGAATTAATTGATTGGTGTAATGGAGAAGACAGTTCCAGGAGAGCCAACGAAGACCGAAACCTCCATGGTTGACACGGCAGCTTCAGCCGTACAAAGCTTCGCTCCGATTAACCAAATCCACCAACATCTCTGCGCGTACGCTACTGAACTCATTAATCCTCTCTTTTCATTTATGTTTTAGAATAAATAAAGAAGTGAAGGATAAAATTTGTTATTTAATATTTACACCAAATTTTTTCCTATATTAGATCTGTCAAATTATTAACCACACCAAAGGGGGAACATTAGGTTAATTACTCAATGGAGGAAGTGGAAGAACACAAAACCATAACTGAGCTCACACGAGAGAGATCGAGAAACTTACTTCTTTCCATGGCGTCTCTCCTTTTATCTTCTCAGCCGAAAGCGCGGCTACTCGGCGGAAAAATAGATAACCTAGAAAATGACTTCAACTTATAGATCCGAAATTTTCTAGGTCAACAAATGGATCGATTGCTTACTCATTTTTTGAGTATCGTTCTAAGAACGAACAACTTGGCCGGATTGCCTATCGCCGAAAATATCCAGATTTTGAGCGGAGAAGAAGTGAAATGCTCTAGATCGGAGATCTGAGCTCTCGAGGGAAGTGCTGAAAGGTGAATCGTCAAAGCGGATATGGTGAATGTCTTTGAAAGAGAAAGAGGCGGTGGTGGGGTTCAAGTTGAAGAGTTGAAAATTAGGGTTTGGGTAGATTTGGATTTGGAGAAAAACGAAGTGTGGGAGAGATAGATAGAGAACCAAGTGAGCAAGCAAAGAGATGCTCGGACCCACGTTTCCACCGCGGCCTCCTCTATAGCTAATTTTTTTTGTTAAAAACTCCTCTATAGCTAATTTCAGAGAATTATTGAAGAAAAAAAGAAATTTAATCACCTAAGCAAAAAAAGGGAAGAACACAGAGCAAAAGGGGAAGACCACTTTGCGTAAAATTTTCAATTTGGAGCCTAATTTTTACTCAATTGATTTTGGTATTTTTTATCCCAAATTTTTGGCACACTTTTTTCCCGCTAACCTTACCATAACGTTTTAGATATAGTATTTGATATCCTGTCTTTGTAAAAAACACTCAGAATAAAAACAATTCGGAAGAGAGTATTAGTTGTCATATAGACAACTTATCGTAGCGTTTCAACTTTTGGAAACGCTATTTAAAATTCAGAGGTTAATTATTAATAGCATAACTACATAAAACGCTATACTTCACTGCTATTAAAAACTAATATTCTTGTAGTGATAAGAATTTTTTGATATCTTATATATATACTAGATATGGACCCGTGCGTTGCACGGGTTGCCGGTCGAGATTATCATTCTTAACATTTTTATTTTATTTTTGTAAGCTTAACTAAAATTTTATAAACATATATATTTTAGAAAATGCAGCATAATTATTTATAAATATAGATTTATTAGCATAATGCATAATATAAAATATTATTTGTAGTTATGTTATACTAATTATTAAATCATCTAATATAAATGTTGGCCTATTTATAAAATTATATAATTCTTTGTTTATTATAAATTATGAAGTCATAAATATTCATATGTTGTATTATTGAATTTTAATAAGTTATTTACATCCATCAGAAGAGTGTGTTACATCTTTATAATTTCAATGTGAGCAATATGGAAACAAAACTATGACAATAAGAAAAGATAAAACTATATAGTTACGTAAATATATGAACGATATATGTATAATACATTAATATGTAAACATATAGTATGAGATACGCAAATATATTATTTTGTTTAGAAAAGTTTGACGTCATAATAAAATTGTGACAATAAAAGAGGAGAAAATATGAGACCGTCTATATCCATGTCATGTAACTTTACTTGATAATATGAAATATCCTCAACAAAAAAAGAAAACCTTATAAGGAATTAGAGAATATACACTAAATAACTTAAGACTAGAAAAAATTAAAAAAATAACATCAGACTAAACATTATCTATTTGCTACATGGCTTTTGTCATTTTTTGGCTCATATTATTAGTTTCTTCGTTTTCTCTTCTTTCTAAGTTTCAAAAATCTCTATGTTTCTCTCATTAGATTTTTCTTATTTTTGTTCGAACTCCTCTTTCTTTCTCCTTCTCTCTCTCGTCGGATTTTATATAATAAGAAGGAAACTTATGTATTAGTCAGATTCCTTAATTTGCCTCAATCTTTATAATGTAAAAATTGTTTTATATTGTGGATATATAAAACAATATATTGGTGTAAATTGGTGTAAAATAAGATAAGAGATGGCAATATATTGGTGTCATCATCAACACCAAGTTTCTCTTCGTTTGCCTCAATCTTTCACCACCATAAAGTAATTTGGTTTTAACAAATTAAATATTGTAAAAAGATAATTATAACAAATTTATAAATTTAAAGAGTTTCATAATATAAAAAGATTATTATAAGGAAAGTATATGTATATATAAAGAAATTATGTGTGTATTGTTCATAAAAATAGAAATTATAAAATAATGCTAAACGTTTTATTTATAAGTTACTAACTGTACAAAAAAAAAAGATTTAAGAATAGGATAATTTTCTTAAGTAAATTATATAATTTATTAATCATATAAGAAAAAGGATTGTAAATATTCACCTCTAAAAAAAAATAGATTGTCTCATTCTCACCAAGCAAACTAATTTCTTGAGAGACACTATCATTTCTTTAATTTCATTCTATTAGTAAAGTTTTTCCTCTCTTTTTTTGGTCATAAATTATTTTTAAGATAATATTAGTAACTAACCTTTGACTAAAAATTAATTAAGGAAATAGCATTGAGTCAAAAAAAACTTTTAGAAACTAATATTTTTCAGCGATGAAATAGCCTTCAAACAAAAGACAAAACATATATGTAATTAGGATTTAAAAAAACAAAAAATAAACACTAATAACAGGAAATCTAAAAATAAAGAAAATCAATACTAGAATTTTGACGAAGAAAGAGAGACATCCACCTAGAATCAGAGGAAAAAACAATGTCATTAAATATAATAGCATATCATACTAAAAGAAATAGGAGTAGCATGTGATTGTTAATGGAAGTGACGATGGTGGTGGTGTATGGTTACGGATATGGTGATAGATTGACTTTAAGAACAACATGAATCATGTAAAAATTATTTATCATTTATTAGAAATATATCATGTCATTTATATATATATATATATATATATATAAATACTTTGAATTACAATAGTTTTCTAAAAATAGGATGTTATATTTAGATCCAAAGAATATATGGCGATGGAGGCAAATTAAGAAATTATGAACGGCAATGGACATAGACTAGAATTGTTGTCGGAAAGAGGCTCGGCTCGATGCTAGAGAAAATAAAGGAGGAGAAATAAGATCAATTGGAAAAGATGAGAAGAGGCGGAATGGTGGTGTTGGTGATAAATAGACCAAGATTTATATTAGATGATTTAATAATTAGTATAAAATAACTACAAATTGCGTTATGCATAATAAATCTATTTAAAAAATAATGAAAATGTTGCATTTTCTAAAATTAAAACATAGCTGTTTATATAATTTTAGTTAAACTTTATAAAAATAAGTGACAATTTCGACCAGCAACCCGTGCAACGCACGGATCCATATCTAGTATATTAATAGAGAAACATTCTAAAAAATAAACCTTATATTAACGTGTTATTAACAAGATTGCCATGCTGACGTGTCGTTCTTAGAATGATTTGTCACCTGTTTTAAATAATTGCCCAAATTTTATTAGACTATTTACCGTATTTGCCATTAGTATTATACATACATATATTCCATTAATCAAAACGAATTTCTAATTAAAATTGTAAATAATTATGCAACAAAGTTTTTCAAAATAAATATACCACAAACTTAAACAAATGATTACGAAACTAATATTGGACGGATTCTAAATTTTCAAAAATGAAAAATTATAACCAAAATTATTTCTGAAATCTAAGATTTCGAAACTAAATTTTGGTCATGATTTTGGTACACATGTATAGAAATTTAAGATTTCGAAACTACAAAATATCGACTTGAAACTACCAAATCTCGACATGTTTGCTAAATTTTTAGATTTCTTAAACTTAAATGAGTAAAGGAATATCCCTTTTCAATATTCCTAATAAGATATTACCAATACATTTATAAATAAAATTGTTTCCAAATAAAAATCTAAAGAGCATTTATTTAGTTTAACAATTAAAAATCTGAATTTTTTTGGAGGGATTCTAAATCCGGCCAGTTCAACTGGTTCATCAGGTTGCAAGTTAATGGGAGATTTTTGTGGTTTTGTTCGGTTTTGAAATTATCGGACATCTGAGCAAAAAAAAAAAAAGAAAAAAATTAACGGACATTAGCACTAAACCTAAACCGCAGAAATGTACGAGTCGCAGGTTAACTAAACATACTGGACGGTTCAGATCGGACGTAAAAACATTGATTTATAAGTATATAAAGAAATTTATTGAAAGACACAAAATATTCAACCTTTTTAAAGATTGAACAATTTTTCTATTTATACATAAAATTGTGACCATCAACCTCCTTCCGCGCAAGGCGCGGATCTTGTATCTAGATAAGGACCCGTCCGATGGACGGGTTTATTTATTAAAAAATTAAAATCAAATTTGACAAAAAATTAATTAAATTTGACATAAAAATTAATCGAAAATAAGAGCACGAAGATATATGAATCTTATATAATTCAAATATGAACATAGAAATTGAAATAAACAATTTTGAAATAGTATAATTAAATTCAAAATATCAAAAACAAAAAAGAAGCATATATGTTTCTTACATATTCAAGAATTTCAAATAAAACAATATAAAACTTTACTTAAAATCCGACGATATGCCAATTTACACCAATATATTTAAAGAGTGGTGGTGATTTCAGAATTAGCGAGATTCGGTATTGATGGTGGTGATGATGGTGTAAATTGCCTCAATTTTCCCAACACCAAGTAAAAATGAAATCATCTTGAAACATAATCCGACGATACTTAAAATCCGACAATATCATCTTTATAATTTAACGTGTCTAATTAAACACCACTTTGGTTTTATTCATCAACTTTATAATGAATATTTTTAATTTTTGTTCTTCATATAAGTATACCATGAATTATTGTTATGTGATATATCTTTCATTCGAAATAATTTTGAATTAATAATTTTAGTGGTTAAAGAAACAATGCAACAGTGAAAAAGTAAATATTATTTTTACTTTTGAAAGAAAATTTCTACTTACAACATTGTTAACTAATTTTTTTGTTAAATTTGATTTTAAATTTTTTAAAATTAAACCCGTCCATCGGACGGATCCTTATCTAGTACCATATAAATCATGGCCTCTATTTAAAAGAAGGATTATTACAGATTTTGCCATCTTTTCGACTGACATTTATGGATTTTGCCATTTTTTCAAAATTTTTATGGATTTGTCATTTTTGAACATTTGAAAATTTCAAATTGACGATTCTGTTTTGCTAAAATACATACTTTATAACAATTATTAAACCCTAAATTCAAATGAAACTGACTAAACCTAAACATAACGGGTAAAGCGCATGTTAAATCGTATTTTTATAGCCCGAAAAAGGACAAATTCATAAGATTTTAGAGAAAATGCCAAAATGGCAAATCCACAAATACCACTCCAAAAAATGGTAAACTCATAAATGATTCTTGAATGAAAAAACGAATAACGATACATCATGTAAACCCTAAACCTTAATTCTAAATTATAAACTACGACCAGAACTTGTTGTTTAGTGGTTTGTGTTAAACTCCATAATCTCATTGATTTTGTTTATTGTAACTTTTAGATACACATTACGTTTGTTTGTACTATATATTACTAGAAAATGTTTAACCACAATATGCAATGTTGTCGTCTTTGTTAGTGAGGTCAAAAGTTTTAATTAATGAATATCTTACAACAAGATTTGGTTTGTTTGAGAGTGTTTTGTTTTTTTTCATCCCAAAAAATATAACCATTTAGATAATATTATTCAATTGTACAACCACTCAATACTAATCTATATACAATATCTATATGTCTATGTCTATATATATAGCATGGTATGGTTTTAGATTTAGCGGTCTTTTGTATCTTCTTCATTGATTAAAACTCTATAGGTACTACGTTTTTTTGGTTCTTTCTTGTTTCTCCATTCATCCATAAGAAAAGATAATGTAGTTCTGCCTTGTTCGTCCTACTTTTGATTTGTTTCTTACTACCATTTTCTGATTTTGGTATCAATTTTTGTTTTTTCTTGTACCAGTATATTAAATATGAAGGAGCTTCAAAGACAGACCAACATGGAAGACAGAATTTCTTTGATCAAGAACGATGTCACTGAAGTAAAAATCT